TTTCTTCCTTCGCTTGCGCAGGGCTTACTTTTTTCAAATTCTTGGTTATATCCTTTAATGAAAGCTGTTCAGATTTTTCTCCCGCTAATGCAGCAGTGGTCAGCGGTTCCTGAGCATCACCTTGAATGCTGCGTGCTCGTATTGCCGAGATCGGGCCAACGAATATGGGCGAGTGAACAAAATCGACAACATGTGATACGGCCGGTGTAAGTGCATAGATGCGTGCGTTGCTGGTTAGCAAGGCTTCTGTGTTGGCTGGAACTTCATAAGAAATTTTCGGCTTATCCTCCTTGCCGGTGGAGCTGATCGCTGAACTAGCGGAAGATGCAGGTGCGGCAGGTGGGAATAGAGCAGGAAATAAGCCTTGGCCAGCTGCCGCAGCGGCACTGGAGGCGGCGGAAGCTGCTTCGCTTAGTTGAGGGCCTAGCTGTGATGAACCGGTTTGGACAGCTTGCTGAATTTGCTGAGAGATCTGATCCCACTGTTTGGATGCCTGTTTTTGCGGTTGTTCGCTAGCACTGGCGCGACCTACGCTAGCACTTTCAACTGGAATGATAGACGCACCAGCACTGGCAGGAACGTATACAATAGTCTCTTCATGTGGAGCGGCGATGCGAGCTAATGGTGAGAGGTGATGGATGAAACTGGCGGCATCATATTTAATAGCTGGTTCAAGATGCACTTGGGCCTGCGGTGTAACGATCACTATGTGCGAAGCAAAGTCGCTCTGGCCCTGGCCCCCAAGCAGCGGCGCGCCCAAAACTACAGGGACAAGCAAAGTGCAAAGCAGCAAATATTTTAGCATCTGTGAAAAAAAATAAAAATAAAAATAAAAAATTTAAAAAAAGTAAATTTTTTTTTTAAGAATTAGCAAAAACTGTAATTGTAAAAATCGACTGAGTTCCGAGCTGAATGTGAAGACCCCTTTTGACTTATGTCCTCTAAGAAAAAAGTAACATGATGTCTTTAACAGTAAAGTTTTTAGCAGAAAAAGTATTCCTAAAGAAATGTTCTCTCTCTTTGAAATCAAATTTCGCAAGATAGATAAAATAAAAACGCATCGTTTCCAAAAGCAATAAGGTACGTACTTATTTTATTTGCTCTCGTTTATATTCAATAAAAACAAAGACGCACGGCAAAGGTGATAATATCAAAATAATATGTACTAAATCGAATAACTGATATCGAATCTTTCGAACTCGTTTTAGTTCTTTACGCCGATAGGCTTTGCGGCGGCGGCGCCGTAGACTTTAAGAATAATCGGCGCGTTCGGCAACGCCAGCGGAACAGCCCATAAGCAGGATTCGTATTTGCACATTTTAGATTACCAAAGGAACTGTCCATACAGTGAAATGACCAAAGTCTGACGATTATTTGTATGGTGGACTCAGTGGCGGATACACGGGGGGTTTTGGGGGTTAAACCCCTCCCCCTAAAGTCAAAGAATAATATTTCCCTAATATGGGTCTAGAAAAAAGGCTCTTTAGAAGAAAGTATGCGTAATAGAGTTTCAAAACATGAATCTTTAAAATCATATATTAAATTTTTCGCTTTATTTATAAAACATTTTGATAATTTTAAACAAATTAAATTTTTCTTTTTACTTATAAATCAATGAAATGAAGAATTTTCAAATTTTTCGTGGTTTTTTGAAAAATTCTTCTAGAACTTCGTCAACTGAAAAATTTATATCTTTGTGAATATTCGTAGATGCTAGACCGTTGAGCCTTTCTTGACATGTTGTATTTCTCAAGTAGGTTTTAATTCTTTTCAGGCATGAAAAGCTTCGTTCAGGTGTGGCTATTGAAACGGGCAAAAGTGCCAATATACGTAAGATCTTAAAAACATTCCCAAAAGACATTGTATTAGCTACTTAAAATGCTTCGAGAGCACTTCGAAAATGTTCATGTGAAACTCGTTTTTTCCACATTTTCACCTCCAGAAGAAAGTTTTGTTTCGAGCAGTCGATTACTTTTTCATAGAAAGCAAAAAATTCTACAGTTTTTTTTTTTTAGTTAAAATCATACTTTGGAAACAAAACACTAAAATTATTTAAAACTGATTTATGGTTTAGGAACCGGCTTTTCAAATGAGCAATATATGTATCAAGGAAGGGAAAATGTAAGAAGCAATGCGATAGTATGCCTCGGCGTCTCCGGTTTTCAGTTTCCGGTATTGTCACTTGCGAAGCGAATGAATTTGGCGAAGCGAATTAAAAGGCAGAGAAGGTATTAAAAGTGTGCGCGATGCGAAGAACTTGCACAAGCTGGTAAAAGCGAACACTCTTAATGCTTATTTAAGTTGAGTCCGCCTATCCATTCGCTTCGCCAAACCGTTCGCTTCGCCAAATTCATTCGCTTCGCAAGTGACAATACCGCCCTAAAGCAATTCTTTTGGCGACTGCTGTATCGCGGTACTTTGATTTCTGTACCTAGGTTGGTGCATACCTACTTCTTCTACGTGTTCGAAAAGCAACTACAAGTTTTTTTCTGCATCTTGTCGCATTTCTTCAAATTCCTTTAAAGCGTCGTCGGATAAGCTCATTGCTTCTGCAAGATCTTCACCAGCCGGCTAGCAAAGCAACAACAATTTATAAAAAAGCAAATGCTTGGGTGTTGTCGCTGTGCTAACAGTTTTTCAAACCCTGATAATTTCTATAGATATTCGCACGATACAAACAATTTTTACGGTATTTTCTCCGTGACAAATAAAACAGTTTTTGACAATTGGAAGAAATACAACTTCGAAAGTCTTTTTAAAACGATTTTTCATTTTCACTACGTTAGAGCCGTTGCCCGAAACTTATGGATACATATACATATACACACAAATTGCTCGTTTAAGGTAATTAGAATAAGGTGCAAAATTTCCCGCAAAACCCCCCCATCAGAAAATTCTTGATCCGCCACTGGGTCGACTATTCCTTTTGAAACTTGACTTGCTGCTTTATTATCGTTAACTTAAAAAAAACCTAACTTTGAATACAAAGTTAGATTAAAATATAAAAAAACTTATATTTAGTCAATTAAAATTATATGAAGAAAACCAAATTTGGATTATCTCTAGCGCGAGCCTGGGATGGAATTTTTATGATGCCGAATTCTCGCAAATCAGGGGAATGACTAATTTGTTTCTTTTATATGGCAATAAGCCCATGCATACTATATTGATAAATACATATATGTATGTAAGTATGTGTAATAGCAAAAAAACCAGCAATACTACAAGTACATACATATATGCGTTTTCATTTCACAGTTTGTTGTGCGTCGTTTTGGCATTGAAAAGTGGAAAAGAGTAGCAATCGAAGCTACTGATTCTAGTCAAGGCTGAAACCAGCAATGCTGTAATTCGTAGATTGTCAAAGTAGAATTTATTTTTAGATATGTTTGAGTTCCCATACATGCTGAAGTGAGCTACGCAAACAGGATTAACCCTGAAAGACCTGTTGCGTGCAACATTAACCGGTTGTGATTAGTGAAGTTTAGTTTATATACAAACATAAAAAATTCCCTTGAGGACGAAACCCAAAGGAAGACGAATAAAAACGTACTCGAAGTACAAATAGCTAAATATATGCAATTATATACATATGTATGTATATGTACATATTTATGCAGTACGCTGTATATATATATATATGTATGTGCATATCGTCGTTTAGAGTACAAAACCGCGTATCAAGATAATGCAAAACCGTGTATGTGAGGTTACATAAGTAATTTTCTAGAGAGTAAAAGCATTCATATTTCAAAATGGTTCTCTTTTTTCGTAATCGCATTTCTGGCTAGTATATTTCAGGACGAATGAGCTTGCGCCAAGAGCTTGTGTGAGCAAATCCAATTTTTGGCAAAAAAAAAATGTCAGTTACGCGGTTTTGTACTTTATCCATTTCCATTTTTATAGTCATTTTAAACTTCTATGTACAAAAAGTTCGAAAATGACCAGACTTGTGCCAAGTACAATACGATTTATTCATTCCCGGTTTTATTTGACTTCGTCAGTTTAATACAATAAAGTACACAAAATATTATAACTTTTATTTGGGTTTATGGTAAACCATTAAAGCGATTACATATTCAATTATACCACACCTATTAAATAATGATTAATAATCATAACGGTTATTAATTAAAACATGTTTTTTTTTGGATAACCGTTTAATGATTAAGAGCCAATATGAGCACCTTTTTAATGATTAATAATTAAGCAAAATTTGTTAATTAATTCATTAATTTTAATTACATGATTATTTTGTTCTTTTTGATCATTTTCAATTATTTTTTACTTTTTTTAATTACTTAATATGTATAACTATTTGATTAATTTCAATTGTCAATCAACAAGCCAAACTATAGGCAAAAATTAGGAATATTCAATAAGTGCATAAATTATTTATTTATTTTATTCTTATCCAAATCTAAAATTTTAAGCGTCAATTGCTACTTGTATACAATTTTAAAAAGAAAGGCCTGAAATGTGCAAAGTTAATGGATTTAATTTAATTTAATGCTAATTTTTATTTTTATTTAAGTTCACTCGAAAATGAACTAAGGTATTTATTTTATTTTTGACCAAAATTTTTTTCTTTTGCATATTCAATATTATTAAAAAAGATGAAAAATATTGAGTTTATTGTACCTGCAACCTTTTACTTTTAACAACATTTAACGGTAAATGCCTTTAAACTTATGTTCGAGAGTTTGAAATATTTATGTATGTATTTTTTCTTTTAATTAATACTCATCTAAGGCTGCTAAATAAAAATGTGTAATATATTAAAGTATACATAATCAAAAGTTTTTTTTTTTTTGTATATTCATGAGTTCAATTAATTTTTTGACTCGCAAAGTAGTGGTTTCGGTCCATAATTGGACCAGTATTTTTCTGTCTATTTTTAACTACACCTTTTCAACCCAGTAATGAGAAAACGTAAGTTTACAATGAGAAAACGTAAATTGTATTGAGAATACGTAACTTTGTATTGATATTACGTAAATTATAATGAGAAAACGTAAATTAATAATGAGAAAACGTAAATAGTAATGAGAAAAAGTAAATTGATAATGGGAAATTGTAAATTTATAATGAGATAACGTAAATTTGTAATGAGAAAAGGTAAATTTATAATGAGAAAACGTAAATTTATAATGGGAATACGTAAATAAGTAATGAGAACTGGGTTTCTTCCATTATTTGTCCTTCAGCCATTATTCACCCACTCCAATGTTTTGCAACGCAAGTGCATCTGCGTGAAATGTTGTTGTGTGCTGCACAGCTCTTGCGCAATCCCCCCCTGATAGTTTCAGCTTTGCGTCGTCTACTGTTTTTTCTAAATATTGGAGCCGCTGTTCACACAATCCTGCGCCATTTACAATGGGTATGCGAAGAGTCGTCTTCACCTCGGTTTTAAACTTAGACCAAATAATCTCAATAGGATTGAGCATAGGCGAATACGGACCCAAACGTAAGACGGCCGACATACCATCAGAATGCTGGGCTACCGCAGCCTCGATTCTTGAGTGGCAAGGAGCGTTATCGCACACAATTACCAAATCTTGCAAATTGTTTCCCAACTGTTGCCACTTTTGTACGAGCTGCAGAATCCAATCACTGCAGCTGTTGGCTGTGAAGGAACCTCTCCTTCGGTCCATTAGCAAAATACTTGATGCTGTAATGGCTCCTATAACGTGGACATTTGGACCACGCGCTGCTGGCAATGCTTGTATTGCCCGCCGCCCTACTTTAGATCTTCCACGCGAAAGTCGGCAAAACAAATTGAAATTAGTTTCGTCAATCCAAACAATTTGCTTTCCTTGCTGTATAAAGGCATTTAGCTTCCGGACATATACTGCTCTTTTCTCTCTATTTTCCTCGCTGTTCATCGTTGTAGGCTGTGTGTGAACTTTTTTCACACTATAGCACATACCTTCAAGATGGTTCCCAACAGTTGTTGTGCTAACTTCGACACCAAAAACCCTGAACAGTTTTTGTTTTAGCTGAAGTAGGGTTAGTCCGCAATCCTCTTCCAGCCATTCAACAATTTTTATTAAATGATCATTCAACATTTTTTTGGGCCTTTCATTCGTTTTTTGTTTCATTGTGCAGCTTCCACTGCAAATCCATCGGTGTGCAGTTTTGTAGTTAACGCCAAGGTTAAGAGCAAGCTTGACCCAATCTTCTCCTCGTGTAGCAGCATTCACCACCCTTTCCCTGTCTTGCTCGGTATTTTTTTTATAAATTTTCCTCTCACAAATCTGTGTTCCTGGAAAAATCAAGATAATTACGTCATTATGCAGAAATGAGAAGCTACTTCGGAATACTTATGAATATCAAAACTCACCAACAATATTATTTCTGCATATCGGGCACGTCTCATTCCGCGATACAATTGGTGCAATACACTTTGAATGGAATAAATGTTTGCAGTTTAATATACGCGAAACACTGCTATACTTCATATTTGTAAGACAAATCGCACAATCGTCTTGAAACTGCATTTTTACGTACAAATGTCTATATGTATGTAGTTACGTTTCATTGGGCGCAATGAAAAAACTACGAGTGAGACGCCTACTTTCACAATTAGATGAAATTCAAATAATTAAAGTTCAAAACCTCAAAGCAGTAAACCCGATGTCATTATAAATTAACGTTTTCTCATTATAAATTTACGTTTTCTCATTATAAATTTACCTTTTCTCATTACAAATTTACGTTATCTCATTATAAATTTACAATTTCCCATTATCAATTTACTTTTTCTCAATACAATTTACGTTTTCTCATTATTAATTTACGTATTCTCAATATAATTTACATTTTCTCAATACTAAGTTACGTTTTCTCAATACAATTTACGTTTTCTCATTATAAATTTACGTATTCTCATTATAATTTACGTTTTCTCATTACTGGGTTGAAAAGGTGTAGTATGAGACTTGTATATTTCTCACAATTGCTATATTATCGCACAATTGCTATTCCATAGCACATCCCAATGTTAAAAATACCAGTTTATTGCATGGAAAAAAGATAGTTGGCTGACTAGTTGGGCATGCGGTTCATACTGATTGTGAGGTGGTCTACAGCTGGTACATTTAACTAACTACAGGGTAGCTGTATCAACGCCAAAGTGGAAAAAAGAACTAGCTAATGCTGAAAAATCAATAACAACCGAATAAGTTTATCAGCCTTTGTTCCAGAAATTGGTTGGTCAAATTTAGGGAGTAAGAAATTTAATTCTTCTGCGGTAAGTGCGTGAAAATGTTTTGTTGTCATGAGGCCACCAATTATGGTTTATAATAATTAACCAAACGTTTATTTAATAATATATGTATATATATGTATATTTTAATATTGTCTGTATTCTAGAAAGTTTCAATATGAATGATTAACAGAAATTGAAAAAATATAAAAATCAGAATCTTAAACACGAGCTAACTGAGTTCTTGAAATTAAACATAATAAAGTGTAAAAGGACCAAGTGGTAATACCCCAACATACATTCATGGCAGACAAGGCTGGCCTTGAGAAATTAGCCGCTCCGGGCGAATCATAATACATTTGCACCCTTTTATATTTGATAACAGAAAAGTATTTATTTTGATTTCTGTGTCATATTTTTATTTGGAAACAACACAAATATGTATTTGCAATTATTAATAAAATACAAGGAAAAACCACTAAAGGTCTATCCACACATCAGTGGCGTATCAGTGTCAGTGAAAAATAAAATAATGTTGCCAAAGTCTCAAATAGATGTTTACATAGACACGTCCGGCAAAGTGCCGTGTTTTCTAAGTAACTCGAAAACGCTATTTTGTGTATTTATTTGACGAGCTAACGGTAGTTTATTGCAAGCTTCGATTGTTTTGGAGTAAAAAAAAAATCGAGTTGGTGCGACGTTATCCAGAATTATATAATTTGTCTCACAACAAATATAGGAATACCGGGTGTAAAAATCATGTTTGGAATAGTATATACTATATGGAATAACCCGATTTCTCGCCTTGTGAGCCCATTTTTCACTTTACTGAGAGCAACGGACGGACTACTACGGATATGTGTGAATTGGTATCAGTGATACCGAGCGATACCGATTAGCACTGTTACGGCACTGATGTGTGTGCATAGACCTTACAACCGATTTTTCCTTGCTTTTTTGTGTAGATTTTCCGCAGTTAGATTTTCGATGGACAGCCAGACAAAACCACTTAATCTTGTTTGGGACGTTGCGTTTTAATCAAATGTTAGTTTAGAAAAACTACGCTAACCATTTGCAACATTCATTGGTATAGTCAGTGGCGGATTTAAATATTTGCCGCCCCTAGGCAATTCATAACTTGCCGCCCTTTTTTCACGAAAAAAAAAAATATATATATATATCAAATATGATTGTTATTGTCAGTGCTTTATTACAATATAGTTCGTTAATAATGAAATACATAACGGAATTAACAAATTCGACATCAGCATGGATAAGGTATTCAACAAAAACCCTCTTTCAAACACTTCTTTTTCACAGTTCTTTACGTCTTGATTTTTCAGCTGCGAATTCGCGGATAATATCTTCACAATCGATAGATAGAAACAAATCTGACTCTATAGTCAGCAACGCAAGAGCATTCAGTTTGTTTTCGCTCAATGAAGATCTGAGATAGTTTTTCACGCGAAGCTGACCTTCAGATTATTCACGTTATGATACACTTATGAAAAACTGGTGGGCTTGGAATCAAGAATTTTCTCGAAAATGCACGCTCGTTTTTCGGCAGTGTTGTCAAGTGTGGTAACCTTTTAGATGATTCTCGTTCTCGGGGCAGCGTGTCGGCTGTTTCTTTGCGTCACGCGCAGGCGCGCCGTCAGGTTTCTAAGCCGCGTGAATGAAAGTTAAATGGAAATTTCAACGACTGCTATACTAAGGAAAAATTCGCAGCGTAATTCTAATTTTGAATTGTATTGAATGAGATGAATCATTAATAATATTTTACAGACACAAACACAATTTCAAGTGCAGCTGAATCCAAATAAATTTTTTTCTTTTAATTTAGCTGTCTTAAATTTTGCCGCCCCTTAATTCTGCCGCCCTAGGCTGCAGCCTATGTTGCCTGTACGATAAATCCGCCACTGGGTATAGTTAACAGAATACGAAGCGATACCCAAGTGATGGCATATGACTCTTGCAGATTGTGCTAATTTGATTAGCGTTTATGTAAAACAAAAAAAAAAATTAAATTTTTCATCTGATAAAATCTTTCATCTTTATACATAGATATAGGCATGTATTTAGTTAAACACAACATTAAGAAACTCCTCTTTATTACTTTTGTTTTGCTCTGTTATTGGCATTTACACTATCTTGATTTCGGGCTCATTCTTAATTTCACATCGAAATCAATTAATTTAAACCAATTAAAATTAAATTATCATAATTTACGGCTCATCAAATGATTCCGCCCCTTAAATCTATCAATAAATTAAGTAGAAATGAGGAAACGTATCATAAATCAAGAACCAAACGAGGAAAAAAAAGTCAAAAGGTCATTTATTTTGGCAACCCCATTCACCATTCCAAGAAATGTGCAAATATTTAAGCTTTTTCAAGCATTGCTTAGACTTGCCTTTAGAAATTATGAGCAAATCTGAACGCACTTGATTTGTCGTCAGCAAAAAAAAAAAAATATTAAAAATCAACGCGATTTTGTAGCCGCTTAAAACTTGCACTGCTAAAATTTAATGGGCTACAAAACTGCATACTCAAAAAAAATAAATAAAAAATAAAATAAAAATCACATTAAAAAGCTTAAGATTTTTAGACAAAATCTTTCAAAGATGAACAAAAAAACACAAAAACTTTAACTTTAAAAACCTTGCAAATATTAACAAAAAAAAAATCATCATGTACTCATTTCTGCTCCCCACTGTATATGTATGTTATAAAAACTTACTTTTTTTGAGCTTTGCTTTGTTGTTCCTTTACAGTATTATATGTACGTATGTACTTATGTATATCGGTCACGCTTATTTTAGTTTCAACACTTTAAATTTTTCAATCACCAAAACTTTACTAAACAAACTAAATATAAAAGCTCAATTAATAAAACATTACACTTGCAGTGAGAGAAAGTTGGTAAATTTTACTAGTTATCTTCTGCAGCCAAGAAGAAACTGACGGTTCATACAGACTCAATTAGTCTTTTATAACATTCTCCAGAAGCAACTTACCACACAGCGCTAACCTCTAGCAACAATGTACATACATACATACATACATATGTACACAGCTTCCTTTTCCTCAGCAACATTATATCACATAATCATGTATGTACATATATAATACATATGTACTTATACATACATACATATGTAAGTTTTGAAATGGAGAAACAACAACAGTAAAATAGTTCTAGTATTAAGAGAAGTTGTAGTATTTAGTATAAGGAGCAGAAAACAGCTTCTACTTGCTATGTACATCTCCGTCTATGGCTTCCCTTAGTGGAGAAGTTAATAAAACCGACTGGAGCATTTGTATTGGGCCAGTACATACATAGCTAGAACGACTGTTGCCGTGTGGTATAGAAGAGCACTGTGACCAACAACCAACCGGTTAATCAAAGATTATTAAACTGATATATGTACGAACGAACGTTCACACAAGTACTGCAGACCGATATGTTCGTAGGACGATACAGAGGATACTTGCCACACTCCTGCAGTGTCAACATACAAGCATACATACATACAAGCATACATACATACATATGCCTACTACAAATGTACTATTTAAAGCCAGTTTATAGTTTGGATTGCTAAACTGAGATTTTTTAAATATAAACTAAAAGCAAAAGAAGAAAATAAACTAATTCAATACGATGCCTAGGAAAGAAATGTAGAAAAAATACAGAAAAATTCTCTTATTAACTGGTAATATGGGTATGTAGATATTAGAGATTGGGCGCCTGAGTGATCTTGGTTCACGCTAACAAGGGAAAGTGGTTTGTAATAATAGTGCTTTTTAATAAAATATTAAGTTAAAATATACTTAAATTGCTTAACATAGCAGAAAAAAGTGAACACAGTGGCACAGAGAAGAAACTTAAGTTTTCCTTGAGTTGTGGGAATAATAGCACAAAAAAAATTTGACAACTAAAATTCTGAGATTTAGCTGTGTAAACGGGGTAATAAACAAACGAGCTTTGATTAAGATTATATTTATATGGTAACATACTTTTATGTTATAAGTAGACTGCGGATTTGCAAGCAAAGAACGAAGCCTAAAAATATGTACCACTTAACTATAAGCGAAATGTATAAATTTGTTTGTATACATTTTGTTCACGATTGAGAGAAATAGTGGTTGCGCCAATCACGGTACCGCCAGTGTTGCCAGGTTTTACGCGAGCCTATTCCCTTTTCGGCCATGCAATTCTATATATTTTTCTCGTTTTTCGTTTTCACCTTTCGATTTCCCTAAATGAGGTGTCAAATTAAAAGTCTGGGACTGCAAATATGTAATAAGGTGTTGGGTTTTTTGAAAAAAGTTGCCACCTTTTAACAAATTATATTCAAATTATCTAAAAGAAAGTCAAATGTTACAAGCTAGGTATGAATGGAAATGGTTTTTGAAGATCTTTCTTCCTTAACCTAACTTCCGGAGGGTTGCCACCTGTTAAATTAAGGAAATTAATTAGAAAAAAAATGTGTCAGTATATGAGTGCCAAACGAAAGGGGGCTCAGAAGGTAGCAGTTTGAAATTATTTTGAAGTGGGTGTCAAATTTAGTTAACTTATCCAAAAGTTATATGAAATGTCAAAATATCCATGTCAAACGGAAGAGTGTTGAGAAGGCTTTGCCACCTGTCTAAAAATGTATTTCAAATTATTAAATAAGTTAAATGCATTATTAAAACGGTATAGTATGGGTATCACTCGAATGGGTTTGAAAATTTTTTATTTCTGAACTATATTTAGCGGGGTCGCCACATGTTTAAAATATAAGATTCAATTTAATTCTCAGCTAATTAAAGTATGTATCGCAATGTTAAAGGAAGAAAATTTAAGAATATCTTAGCGCGAAATTGCTTTTGAAGAGGGGTGCCACCTGTTCAAAAACTCGAATTTACTTAACTTGTACGCAAGTTATTTGAAATACATATGAAGCGAAGGGTGTTAAAAAGTTAAAAAAGTGTGAACATTTAGAATATTTGAAGAGGGTTTTCACGCATTTATAAAGTGACATTCAAATTATTTAAGAAGTTGGATGAATTATTAAAAGATGGGTATCATAGAAATAATTTTGAAAAGGCTTTATGGAGGATTGCCACCTGTTTGAAAACGCCAACTCAACTTAAATTAGGGCAATTACCCAATTCAAATATGTATTAAAATATGGGTGTATATATTGACGTCAAACGAAAGGGTGTTAAGAAGTCTTTAGTTTGAACAGTGGAAATATTTTTTGAGTGTTTGAAGAGGGTTTTCACCTGTTCAAAAAAAGGCTTTGTTTCTGAAATATATTTAGGAGGGTTGCCATGCATTCAAATTATTTAACAAGTTAAATAAGTTAAAGGATGGATATCAATCGAAATGGGGTTGAAAAGACTTTCATTTCATGTAGGTTTTGCAATTCACTTCCGAGTGAATTTAAACCAAATTCGCTACGAGCTCAAATTGAACTTTGTAGACGTTTACTCGAAAATAAATTGTAAAAAATAAAAACGTTGCCCTGTAGATGTGCGATAAGGTTTTTTGAAATTTTTGAAATTAGAAACTTTTTATCGGTACAGGGTGATTTAAAATTTGATAATAGTAAAAACCTACTATGCGACTCGAATCGCTTATTGGTTAGATTCCAGAAGATCACAGGTTGTTAAAATGTTAACACAAATTTTTGTTTTATATTACAAACCAAGCTATGAAAAATCATCTGGGAAGTGTAGAATGGAAACGTATGTGAACGAAAAAGCCGCCAAACACATATCTGTGTAAAGTAAACAAGCCCCCGCTAAGCCCCGCAGTTCTAAATTCGCCACTTTAGACATAGAGTTCTAATGAAAAAAGTGATATAAAATAGTTTTTAAAAGAACCACATTGCGCTGATTTTGAACTGGCCGGAATCTAGTTACTATCGGACTGTTTCGTTTTTAGCGATAAAGATCTAGTATGGAACTAGTTCGCGGTTTCCCTGCAGGGTTGCATTGTGTATATTTGAGAAAGAATATATTTTCGCAGCTATATGCAGGCAAGTGTACATATGAGCAAAATCGTGGCACACTTATCGTAGATAATGCATTATCTTCCGTTTTGCGTAAAGACCCAGATTCCATCGCAAAACTGTATTTAAATGAGAACTTAAAAAAGATACACTAAAAAAAGTAAAAATAACTACTCGTGCTCATATGTATACCCGTAGTTGTGTATGTAACGTATTCGCCCCGTAGCCACCACACGCAGTAAGCTTCCACGTTTACTCACGCCTTAACTCAAAAGCAGGGACAGTAATCATTATGAGTTAAGGCATCTAATACCGGGATTCGGGATCCCCCTGTGTTATAATATATATAACATACATATGGAGCATTCGTTTTCATACCGGAGACCAAATTTGGTTTCACAATTTCGATTGGCTTCATATTTTTCCTTTTTTCTTGGGATATACATATGTACATATGATCTGTAAAATTTTGGATTTTTTCGTGATTCTGACTAAATAATCATGTACTTCTTCAAATTGTTATATCTCGGGTTCTGTTCATCGTAGAGACTTCATTGTTGACTCTCACAAAATAAACCACCTCGTCATAAAAAAAAAATATATTTTAAAAATTTTTGGAACATATTTTTTATAGAGAATTAAACAAGGATTAGGATGGTGTAATTTTAAATCCCAAATTTACTGGTCTTTACTATGCAAATCAACTTAAAAAAGTTCAACTGTTAAAATGACTTCGACTGCAATATGAATGAATTACAATTTTTTAGTTTTTAGTTTATTCAGTTTGTTATTAGCTTTTTAAACTGATTTAAAATAAAGATATTTATATTTCTTTTCTTAAAAACACAAATTAATTTTTATTTCTAGTATTCGCACTAAAGAAAGGCTGCAAAACTAGTTTGTTAGCATATTTTAATTAATGGCAATTATATCCCCAAATATCCCGGGATCCCGGGATTAACAATTTAAAATCCCGAAATCCCGCGATTCACAAAATGGTCCGGGATTGGATGCCTTATTATGAGTAAAATAATTTAAATCAGAAATTAATCATAATTATGCGATTTTTATTTTTTTCGCTTAAAATTAATCATTATTATTGAGTTTTCTTTTTTCGCTCAACGGAAATAATTATTATTTAATTTATACTAATTTCGATCACAAATAATGATTCCTTTATGGTTTTTACTTTTTCGCTCAGAGATAATAGTTGTTATTGAGTTTAATTTTTCCACTTAAAAATAATGATTATTTATAAAATTTAATAGCCCATACCGACGCAACCTACTGAAATTTTGACGTGAAAATGTTGGGACTTATTCCTGTTGTAAAAGTGTCGCTACTTCTGAAAAGGATATGTCGGAAATCGCTTTTGAGTTTTCTGAATAATCATTATTCTTAATTGAAAAAAATAAAACTCAATAATAATTATTATCTTTGAGCAAAAAAATGAAATAAGAGAGAATCATTATTTTTGATCGAAAAAATAAAAGCTAAATAACAAAAATTTATTGGTTTTTTTTTGGTTAAAATTAAAAAAATCATAATTATTTTCCCTTTCTGCTTAGAAGTCACAAAATTTAAAAGTAATTAAATATTGGCGTGGAAGATTTTCACATATTATTCCTTATGAACATATATATTACTTTCTTCAGTGCATGGAAATCGATTCCGAATTTACAATTTTGTTTTTAGAATAAAAAGACATTATATCTTTTAATACAATTTTATTTTAGACAAAACAAAGAGAAAAAAGCTTGAAATATGATCGCTAAAGTGTAAACACATAATAGATATATACGGTGGCGTGAATGTAAATAGGGAAACGTCTTTTTGGCAAGTTTTGGATCTTTTTCTTCGTTTGAAAAATGTTTATTATTCTTTTACGAAAATATGGCTTACTATCTAAAAAAACCTTGTAATTCAAAATTTCAAACTTTGTAGAACATTTACGAAAATTCGATGAATTTTTACATATGTTGATAAAAATTTTAAACTTTTTGATCAGATTGACTTTTAAAAAATATTCAGCAGGACAATATTCTCAAAATCGGTACCGTCCGCCAAAATCGGTACAAATGGTCACCGTATGTATATAACAATTTTAGAATGAATTTCGAGGTATTGAAAAAATTGAATTTTAAAAATAGCTGCGACAGATATATTGCATATTTTTTTTAGAATTTGGTGGCACACTCTTGAAACTTCACAGATATGTTTTGTTTGTTGCCAATGTTCATTGCCATTGATATAAACATTATATTTTAAAACTTGCCAAAGTTATTTAAAAAAAAAAAAAAAAAATTATGATTTTTTCAAATGGCAATGAAAAAATTAGTAATTTCGGTACTTTTTCGCCGAAATAAACGTTTTAAGGCTAAAATTGTTCAAATACTTGATTTATTTTTTATTGTAATTGTTTCTGGTACTCCATTGATTGAAGTTACACCAAAAACAACTCGTAAGAACATTGAATTAATATACATATTTGTTTTATTCCACTCAAACATAAAAACCGCATACTATTGAATATCAGTTACTACGAGTACCCGGTCGGACTTGGTTGCTTCTAAAATGTACTTCTAGCGCGGTTCTTTTTTTCCAGTCAGAAGTGAGTCTCCCCAAAACAGGCGCGAAACACAGCAAGAATGAAGAGCAATTTCGCATGAGGTGGTTGTTGTTGGTTTGCAAAGCTTTGTAGAGCTTTTATTCTCGTTCGTATTTATTTTCCGTCAAAGCATTACGAAATACTGACTAAAGCAGTGAAGTGATTTTTAGCCTTCCATAGAAGTGAAAAAAGAATGTACTTATTTTTTAATGAAGATTTTTTCCAATTTTTCCTACAGAGCTGAAATGAGCTTCGAATTTCTCGTGAAAAAAAAAACAGTACCCTAAAAGGCATTCTTGGGGAACCATATTCTTCAAGGTCCGACTGGGTAATTGGCTTAGATAGTAGAGATGTAATCCCTGTGTCAAAAGTTATGTGGGAAGTCGTTTATACAAATTGCGTAAATTTAAGCAGCGAATTCAATGCCTAAACAAAGGAGGTGTTAACTAAAAATAAAAATGCTTAAATCTAACTTACCTTCATTTTTGCCGAAAATATTCAGCATTTATACGAACATAAATGAGACTCTATGAGAATTTATTTACTTATCTATATATGTAGTATTTAATGTTTAGCTGTTCTTGACATTTTATTTTATGCGGTGTTTTCATGTCGCACTGCATGTAGACTCTTAAATTTACATGTTTTATAAATAAGTTTGCATTTTTAGTCAAATAACGGTAATGATTCAGTGGATATGCTAATCAAATTCCTTTTAGCCCAGAGAGCTTTGTACGGGTAGTCAAAGTTTGATTATTGAAACGCCCATATCTGTAAAATGTTGAAAATTAAATACATTTTATGCGTCCTGTCCCCTACTTCGAGACAAAATTTTTAATGGTTTTATCCAGGAATTCTCTTTTACAAACCTTTCTCAAGTTTCGAACGAAAATCGAGGCCTTTTTTCATTTAGGACTCTTAGATAAAATAAATAATACATTTAAGGTTAGTTTCTATTCTTCAATTAACATTAAACAGACCGAACGATGTTGGACAGTATATTCGAGTGCATACATGCGTAAATTTATAACACTTTTTTATTTGGGGAATTTTTTGAAAACTTATCTAATCTATTGAATGAATCCTTCGTTTTCAGTTGAGCGCTGCGCGCTGACGCAGCGTACTCCTCTGCCACCATTGTTTTCCATTTATCGACAAATGCGTCGGCGATGCCGCCAGCGGTACTTCCGACCAATGAACCCCCGTTCCTATTTTTTTTACTAATCACAGAAGGTGGTGGTGAGTCACGTGCATCGATCGAATCACGGGTAAATGCTGAGCGGACAGACGAAACGTCACCGTAGTCTTCACTGTAGTCATCATATATCGGGCGCTGAGGTAGGCGATTCACGTTTTTAATAACCAAGTTATTTCTATTGGGCACAGCTACACTGAACGCAGCTGCCTCTTCTGCCGACACACCTGCGATAGCGGTGGCTTTTGGAGCAGCCACAGCCAAACCGTTACGTCCAGACAGTGCCACAGCGTTCGGCTTGGATGACGCTACACCTCCTTCTCCGGCAATCGACAGGCCTACAAATATTGAGTAAAAAATATATATATATGTACAGATGTAGTTTCAGTAAGTTCTCCATAAATCATTCAGGTACGAGGAAGTGCAAAACAAAATGGCGCAGTGAATCAGATTTGGTTTTAATTATTTAGATTTTGGCTTGCACTTACTCCATGTATTTAAATATATATGTTTGTATGTATGTTTATGAACGTACCCACGGGTTTAGCTTCAGCAACAGAAGCATCCTTCTTCGGCGCTGTTACAGCTACTGTATCACTGACGTCTTCATACGGATCCTCGGTGTTTGGGGGCAGGAACTCCTCTTCATTGAACTGTTGTTCAGTTACTTCTTCGACTTTCTGTTCGCCCGCCGTGCTTTCGTTGCCAGATACCGTCTCGGTTGGTTGGAGTGGTTGTTTGGGCGGCAATTGAAAGTCGGGTTGAAGGAGTAAACTGAAATCTTTAATCTGGCCACTTTGCTGCAAATTGGCCAGGTTCTGTGCCGCATGCCCCAATTCCAGTAAACTTTCGGCGTAGATCCGATTATCTTCATTGCTGAAAGATCCCTTACGTTTTGCAGTCTCTTGTATAGCGACCAAACGGGCCGCAGCTATTTGTATTCGGTTAAAATCCTTTTCGAAAGCGGTGGTCGGAGAAGCTATGTCCTGAGTTTGACCATTATTACCTGTGGACATGGCTTTCTTTGTTAAAACTGGTAGTACGCTGACCTGAGGGACAGCTGGAGCTATGATAAACGTATTGTCGTTTCCATCTTTGGTTCTAACCACTTGCAAGATTTGGCCACGCATACCACCATAATAAGGGAATGAGCTTGCCTCGAAAACTATGGGACCTTTTGAGCGCTGGCTATTAATTATTTTTGATAGGATGGATTCATAAAATAATTATCAAAAACACCACTCAAAACAATTTCAAACTACAAAGCCAAAATAGAAAGCTTTCAGCATATAAACACATACATAGAAAATGTTCTTACGCAAGGACTTCAACATAGGTGGGTAGGTAACTAGATGGCTTTATAATACAAATGCAGAAATTGAGCACTAAATAATTACAAATTTCTATTACATATTTATGTAGGTATGTATGTTCTATATTTACAATTATTTACATCATAATGATCTTAACAAATAGAAGCTTATAAATACTTAACACATTTACATATGTATGTATGTATGTACATATGTACAACAGCAGAGTTTTACTTTATTTCCGCGAGTCCGAGTCCACCAAATCGAGCTCCAAATCGGCCTGAGCATGCGCTTTGCCACCAACTCCGGCTATTGCCACAGACTCGGGACTGAAGTAAACGTTGGTGGGAACTCCCCGTTTTAGGAAGGCCTTCGAAATAGGTGTAGATACAGCCGTGCCACCATTTCCTACCACAGCTTTTGAATGCGGTTCCAGTATTAATGTTGAAGTCTTTGTGATATCTTTTTCGGTGTGTGCTTGGTATGGAAGAAAGTAAGTACCGAACGGTATTTCCGGTATTGTGCCCGAAGTGGCTGTGCGCCCGTGAGCTTCCACTTTTATTACTTCACCGTTTGTTGATATCGGCACCGATAATGAAGGTTTTGCTTTGCGCAGATTCGATTGTTTTTTCGGTGAAGCTGTGCTTTTTGATACCAACTCAGCAGGCGCCTGTGAAACTGTTGATAATTTAAGAGGCTTTTTGTACTTTTGCGCCGATATCGCCGAATCTATGTGTTGGCCAGGGACAAAAATTATCTCTTCAATCACGAATTCCGGGTTTATTTTCTGCACGGCTTTTAAAAAACGCATATCGCTTTTGAAATCCGCCCTACCTGTGAATGGGTGGGTGTTCATTACAAATTGCTTTTGGATTCCTTTCGCGACTCTGGGCGCTGATATTTCGATTGACTTTGGTTTACTCGATATTTTTTCTGTGATTTCTTCGTAATCTTGACCTCTTGCTTTGTGAAGGAGTTTTCCGGTCCCTTCTGCGCTTAAAAGTGGCAACGAAATGGAGGGTAAAGCTAAATTTTCAATGTACATTGGTTCATTAATCTGCAGATATCTATTTCTTTGAAAAACGTCCTTCGTTTCAAAATTTGGAATTTGATGAACTACGTTATCAAGTTTGAAATACGCAGTTGGTGCCACAGCTAAGGCGATGGGGGTTAATGGTGATGTTCGTATGACAAGAGGATTTGGACGAATCGTCTCCGGCCACGTTTGAATGTTTGCAGTTTTCCAAAGGATGCTGGTATGTAGTTTATGTGAATGGTAGGAAGCCAATGGCGATGGATGGACGAAGGAAAATAAAGTTTCACAAATGTAAAAAAGGAAGAGAGTACGAAGAGAATGAAGCATGAGTCCTTGTCAAAAATATTTACAATAACAATATATGGCAACACTACCTGAGGCAATGAATGATTTGTATGTAGCGTGCGAAAGATGGTAGAAGGCATTAATAATAATAGATAAGTGGTGTGATGTTAATCATGAAAATTTAGTGCTCAGTGTTGTCTAACTAATATGCATGCCCAAATGTAATGAAATGCTATATAACTTTTAAATAAATTAAATTTAATGTATAATTTGCGTTTTTATACAACTAATTATGAAATACGCACTAGATCTAACGCTTTTAATTAATTACAACAATAATTTATTCTCAGCATTTTTGTTCATAAGACGTAATCAGCTTCACCCGTCGCCGGTGAATAATAAACCGTCGGACCAATGGCAACAATCTTTCCTTCACGCGGAATACTCTGGTCGTTGAGGTTGGTTCTTTCGAGAGCATCTTTCAAATCCACGCTAGATGGAATGGCGATCACCTTTGCCCCCGGTCCCGCAATGGTCAGACTTCGTGGATGTGTAAGCGCAAAGCCACCGGGGCCAACAATAGCGGTGCCACCACTACCGGCGGTCGCCACACCGCCAGGACCCGCAATTGCGATTCCACCCTTTCGCACCTTCAAGCGTTGAATGATAATCCCGCCCTGCTTGATGGCTTCCATTTGTGTAGTTTGCTCTGCATTGTGTCGGTTGCCAAATATTTGTTTCTCCTCATGCTCGGCGGAACTGTCCTCTTCATCCTCTGAAGCACTGTTACTCGATTCGTCACTCCAATGATAATCACTCCCTTTCTGCGGCGGTTGTTGTGCTCCGATAACCTCATATAACGGTTGTGCTGGCTGATAGGCCTGTGTTGTTAGAAAAGGCTTGGGTGGCATTTGCAAAAATTGGTTTGACTCGTGTGTTGCCGCACTCGCATCTGGTTTGTTCTCCTGGCGAAATGGGAATTTGAATATATTTTGGAAGGCATTTTTTATCGCATTGCCAGCGGTAGAATTCTTTAGGTCAACTGGTCGAACGACGTTAGCAAGGTTGGGGATATTTAAGGTGCCAATATTTGGCACATTGTAAATATTCGAGTTTTGATTTGGGCTATTGTTCACTATCGGTTTACTATTGGTGTGGGTGTTGGTGTTTTGATTGGTGGCCGCTGGCGAATTGCCACCAAAAGGAGTCTGTTGCTCCATCATTTCACTGACGCTAGGTTCCTTGTCCCTCAGCGGTTTAGGTATAATGCGTTTTCGAATAATTTGCGTTGTAACATTCGCAGTTGAACCTCCGCCGTTGCTGCTACTTGTTGCTGTCGTTTGTATTTTATAAGGCCTTTGAATGCCAATCACCTTTTCCTCCCTCGAACTATTTTCGGATGATTCCTCCTTTGCTTTTAATTTTATTTCAGAGCTTTGCGAGTCTTCGTTCGACGCTACCGCGCTCGGTAAAAAAAATAGATGGCTTTTAGCTGGGTATTTAGATTTTGAATCTGTCGATGACTTGTTCTTTTGAATAGCTTTGCCATAGAAATCGCCAATATCACCGACAATTTTATATCCCTTCATACGATATTCTTCAGGTGCGTTCATATGAATATACTCATCTTTACTGAGTCTGTAGAGACGTACCGGTATTAGGAAATGTGTACGCAATTTAACTTGTTTGTCGATTTCTGGCAGTGTTGGTTGGGCTGCCTGGTTCGGGTGGGAAATGTGTGTATTGTATTTGGTTTCAATCGTTTTGGCGTGGTGATGCTTGGGCGGAGCTTCATCAAAGGCAATGGATTTAGAATTTGTATAGGGAGTAATGTATTGACTGTGCAGCGGAACGGATCTTATAGATGGAATTAGTATTGTCCCGCCATTCATGCCAGATGTTTGATGATTTTGCTGATGGAAGGGTTGCATTGCCGGTTTGGGAAACAGATACTGGCTTGAGTCCAGAATAGGTGGAAGCTTGGACTGTTCAGGCTGTTTCCGAACATAACCCAATGCGTGGTTAATCTTCTCTATTTCTTGCAGGATGCGTTGAGCCTCATCAAACTTGGCCACTTCTGTGTCGGAACTATTACTGGTGGGATCCGTACGGGACGTCGAATCTTCATCAGGGAATTTCACCAGTCTTTGTTTTGCGATTCTGCGAACGAAAATTGCAAGCAATGGGTGGGAACTTATAAAAACTAAGAAGCTGAGAATAATTCTAACAATGGTTTGTTGGTTGGTGTAAAAACAAATGCCCTTTGATAAGAGTTAATTTGTACGAAGTATCGTTTAATTATTGTCGAATATGCACACATGAATCGGCTGTGATGGTATTAGTTTAGTCACATTGTAGTGGGTGAGAAATGATGATTTTTCATTCTTAAACGAGATGCAGTCACACATATGTATGTATGTATGTATGTATGTATGTATGCATGTATGTAGTAATGGCCATATGACAGTTTCAAAATAGCGATTCAAAGCAAATGCGTTGAAATATGTAAATATATTTGCTATGTGAAGAAGACTCATGAAATGTTATATATAAAATAATAAGGATCAAAACAATTCGAGGTAAGCACAGAAATATTTAGGCATCACACTATTTGAAGTACTTTCAGGGTAGCTGCGATAGTTCAATCTCTATAATTGGCTAGCTGTACTTACTCGACACCTACATCGCTGACCTCGACCGGCAACGCTTGCGCTGCACAAAATACGGCAATAATCGTCGAAAATATGAGCTGAAAAGAAAACAAACTTTTTAGTTAATTAGTGCTTTTCCTCTTCTATGTGAAAAATTTTACATATTTTATGTAATCTACATATGTACCTACATATATATACATTAAAGTGGTCCCTAGGATTGTTCTATACCAAAAAAAATATAGGGAGTGCTCAAAGCGCTCAAAGTTTTCAATGTATTTTATGTGGGGAAAAAACAACGTTTCGTAGAAATAGTGTAGAATTCTGGAAAATCAATATTTTTTGATGGGAAAACTTTGTTTATCTTTAGGAGGTTCCCGGTAATAATACCCAATTGCTCCTTTAACAATTTTTTCATGGTAACTATATTTTATAAGTCCTCCAAAGCCCGTAGAAAATGCAATGGGGGACCAATAAAAAATCTCTAATCATAAAAAATGGTTAATTAAACAATTGGATATTAATATTTTAAGTCTTCTGAAGAGAACCGCAGTTTTACGATTGAAAAATATTGATTTTCAAGAGTTTTATACCATTTTTAAGTAAATTTCTTTTTTCCCCCATACAAAATACATGGAAAACTTTGAGCGCTGTGAGCACTCCCTAAATATTTTTTATTTCAAAATAAAAAAATAGGGGTATATTTATTTTCGGTTCGGAACAATCCTAGGGGGTGGCGGCATTAAAATTCCGACTTTATTATTTTGGACCACTCTAATATACATGCATAAGTATTAGTACTAATGGAAGCAAAAATACGCTTACCATATCCTTAACACACACACATGTGTGAACATACATATGTACATATATACACTCCGCTTCACTTGAATATTTAATTTGACTCCCTTCAAAAAGGAGGATTTTATTATTACGTGAATTTAAGCTTCGACCGAGTTGTACTTCGAGGTTCGCGATGTCGCTTATCAAGGATCTGTAGGCAATGACTCCGAAATATACATACATATGTATTTAGCTAATTCCAATTTCAAATTAAGTTCCCATAGGCTATAGAGTTTTGTAGACTACTAGAAAATTTAGTTTTCCAAATCCAACCTATTTATTCATTATTACTGTCACAATTTTCATAAATTTTTTTGATTTCATTTCCTTGGGGAACTAAAAGTGGAAAGAAGCAAGGAGCCTTTAAATTAATTAAAAGGCTTCTGAAACAGTCTTTCTAACTGTTTTCTTCCATACATTTTAAGTGAGGAGATACACCCCGCTTCACTAGAACAGGAACACATATTTTCCTCAAGATCCAAGCTTATATTTGGACTTGTCAGCATTAGAGAAGTTTATTTTCGATGTCATTTTGAAGAGTGGATAATTTCGAAGAAAAGTGGTGAAAATTAATAAAACGGCTCTATTGCTTTGGATTTTTTTCCACTTTTTATCAAACTACACGAAAATTATGCTTATCGTTTTGATTGATTCACTTGAATAAGCACAAGCCTCCTTATGTGTATAGTAAAGTTATTTAAATTTCACTTATAACCTCTCTAAGAATTTAAAGGATAATTAGAACTATAACAGAGCAAGAATGGACGAGGCAGGCGCACTTTCAACTGCATAAAATGCATAAATGGAGGGATTCACGGCTCCAGGACTTTGCAGGCGATCTGTTGGTGACAAATCTGAAGGAAATACAAATGCTTTTGACAGCTGAAGCCGGCTCACAGCATCGCAGGAAAAAAAACATAAAGCGGAGCCAGAACACAAAAGCTAGGTGGAAATAACAAAATTCCTTTACGAGGTCAGCTGTCTTGCTGTCGAGCTGGTGGACTAAAATGGAAGAAAAACGTTGGTGTTGATAACACCACAAGGGAATTGCGAATTACTCTATACAGTTGTGTTCAGAAAATATCAAAAAAGGCCATAAATTTTACTATACAACTTTAAGAATCATGACTGGTATTTCGTACAACTCGCATGCCTGAAAGGACAACTAGAAAATGGCAGTTTTCTCTGGCGAAAACTTTAATTTCGATGGCTACAAGGGGTTTAATAATAATTGTCATAATTTTTGAAAGGACGAACGTTGCTAGAATCCTCTCTGTTATCAAGAATACTCTCTTCTCTCTGGCGGTCTGAACTGCGGTTTTGTAGTCCAGAGAAGTTGAACTTATATTTACAGTTTCCAAAATTACGAATAATTCATGCAAAACAAGCATTAAGGACATTTTTTTACATTTGTCGCATATTTTTCGCACCTTGTTCTTGAAAATACTAGCAAAATTACGCACCGCTTCGCACTACAGGAGCGAGGATAACGATGCAAAGTCGCAATTTTTTAACGGAAAATGTTTGGAATGTTTTGCAAAGTTTGCGTGTCAGCCAATTCATGTGATGATTGGCAGTTGTTCTTTCCGGCGATTAAACTGGTAAGCAGCGAGATGTCCTTGATTTTTCAAAGCGCCTCTAGAATTGTCTTCCGGATAGCGGGTTTTTCCATTCATTGGAATTAGCGATGTACTTTGCCATACTAAAAGTGTTATATGGTAGAATTAAAATGAATGGTATGCTTTTGTTGTTTCAATCTCTTCTGTGCTTTGCTCGTGTTAAAGCCACTGTGCCTATTCAAGCGAATCAAAATAATAAGCATAATTTTCGTATAGTTTGATATAGACGTGGAATAAAATCCAAAGTAGTAAGTGTTTCTTTGAAACTGATCATTTTTCAATATGGGATTAAAATGAAACTTCGCCGAGATGCCCAAAAATACAGATACATATAAGATCAGATCTGAGGAAGTGAAGCGGGCGGGGTGTACCAGAAGCAAGTAATACTAAATAACTATCTAGCTACTAAGTATTTGTTAAGTGTTGTGCAATAAAATGATCATGAAAAGAAATTATACTATGCAGCTATTTACTTCTACAAATTTAAAATCAAAAATTCTTTAAAGTGACATTAAAGCGAAATTTCTCCGATGCCTGCAGGTATAGATATAACCCAGTAGGAATTAGGAGCACGTAATAATACCTTATTAGCAACTTACTCTTCACCTGGCAGTCATTACCATTTCCCTGCCGAACGTCCCTTACTTTTACAAAGGCATGGCCGCCTTATGTAAGTAGGAATTTAGAATGTACATTTGGTATCAGACATACTTCTGAGCCGCTATACAAAGTAAGTTACGTGTAATGCAGAGAAGTCGCTCGGAGTAGTTCGGCGCTTGGAGATAACTTCGGCTGCACGTTACTTTGCAACTGACAACGTAATGTGTCGTTGGAGGTGTTCATTTTGTGCTTTACTAGTAGATGACATTGGCCATGATGACAATTTTGGTACTAAAAACTGAAAGAAAACATGGCATACCTCGTAAGGTGCTTACCTATTTTCCCAGTGGGAAGCTAAGTTCTTGGAGAAAAACAATGTGAAGCGGAGTATATGTATGTATGTATGTATGTATGTATGTAGGTATGTGTCGTCTTAGATAAATACAATAATATGTAGACATATGTATACACGTCAGAGATCTCCAAGATATTTAAATTGAGTCAACTGTATGCTTATTTGGCATTCAGCACGACGAGAATATGTGTTGAATTGCGGTCAAGAATTACCATTCTACTTACTTCACAATTTTTTCCCGTAGTTACTTAGCTATGAAGTTATTTTTTACAGACAAAATCATAAACAAAAGGAAAAAACGATGAAAGCTGCTCAGAATTGGCGTTCAAGGTGTGGGCTGAGTGTGGATAATAGAATGAAAGTTTTTTGAACAACGAGCAGCAAAAAATCGTTTGGTGGTCCCGATACTCAAAAGACATGTCCACAAGAAATTTGCAGAAATTGTTTAGCTAAATAAATTAAGCGTTTGCCTGCGAGCTAATTCAGCGAGAATATTTGGATATAAAAACCAACCAACGATAACCCAGCAGATCACAAAGACTCTAAGCGCTTAAGCACGAGAAAATGTCAACGACCTCTTTGCATTCCGCCCAGCAAAGTAATCTTATTTTCATTTCGATATTGGAGTGGGCGAGTCAGATATTTATGAGCTTATCGCATACATAGGTGAAACGACGAACGCTTCTGGCACTGTACGCTTATCTTCTTAATAAAAGAAAGTTGGCTTTAGAACCATCAATGTATGTGGCGAGCCATCAAAGCGACTTCAAAAGAATTTAGCTTCGCACTAAACAACTACATAAATGCCGCATTGCTTCTGGATTTAAATATTTTTATTTTATTGTTAATGGGTCACAGCTTCATTAGCTATGGGTTGGCTATCATTGGATGCTATGTGATTATTTGTTAGAATATTAATCGTCCCTAAGAAGAGTGAAACACAAATAAAGAAAAGTCAATCGATTAAGCTTTGTCTGAGTTTGTGTCTTCGTGGACGTAGCTTGCGCCTTAAGCTCGTAGCACAAACGGTTACAACCGCACAATCAGATACATATTTATGTAATTCAATAGTACATCGCTTCGAGCTCCTTTAACAAAGATGGCACAACAACATTAAAAATCTAGCAAGTATAGAAGAGAGCGTTTTTTTTTTTGAGTTTTTAACTTCACTGAAATTAAACGGAATCTTAAATATTCAATAAATATAAAAATTAGCCAAGCAGATACGCCATCGGAATTATTAATTCTTATAAAACAGTACAGTATGTATGTATGTCTGTATGTATGTATGCATGCATGTGTATTGTTATTTTGTGGCTACTTAAGGCCATATGACTTTTTGCGGTCGTACGCTTTGACGTTTTCAGAAACGTATAAATCATAACCGCAATTTGCGTAATGTGAACAGTCGTTCCATTTTTGCTATGCGCGATAATTATAAGGAACTTCAATTTAAAAACTTTATACTTTTATTTAACTTTCATTAAATCTTAAAACTACTCCTATTTTATTAATCAATTAATGTTTAAAAATAAAATTATCATTAATGGACTCAATGAATTACTGCTTTGAAGAAAAAAGTGAAAGTGTTGAAAGCTGAAATTTTGACTTTTATGTGCCGAAAGCAAAAACAAAATGAATGTAAGTTTTTGTTTTTGTACTTCGGCCAGCACCCTACATG